TATTATAAAAATAACGAGATATTTTAAAAAAAACTTCATGTGACACGAATTTCGAATTTATTTTCACATATAGAAAAACAGCCTCAGGGAAATGTCACACGACTAATAACCAATGATCAAATATTGATTTTATATATAGCAGTATATTGATGTCACCAAAAAATGATTACGCTTTGTCTTATCATCATGATAAAAAAGAATGAGAATAATCACCATGGTAAATATCCAACATTACTCTACATAATGAATTGTTACATGTATAAAATCATTAAAACCCTAGGTTCTCAAAAAATGTATTTTTGGCATATGCGTCAATTTTGTTTGAACCTCAAAATTCAGTATGGCATAATCATAACGTTATGAATACCTTATAATCCATTAGTTGCCGTTAGTAAAATAGTTTTTTTTTTTTTTTTTTTGATATATAGAGTAAATAAATTTTTTTAGGTTAATCTGACCAGTTACGCATACACAATAAGATATACATGTAAGCTCATTAAGTCGTATGCAACAATCAATTGTTTAAAATAAATAAGTGACCGACCTATCGAGTTTAAATGTGTGTATGGTTTGAAGGAAGGGCCCAAAAAACAAATCGGCTGATATGGTAATTACATACCACCAGCAATTTTCCCATCTCTATCCTTGTCCGAAGTTGATGCATGATGTTAATATATTGGCTGAAATGCTTGCACTATATAAAATCAATAATAATATATATATGTATGTATATGAATCAATCAGCAAGTATCACAAATATCTGAATTGATTGGCTAAATTAATTTCGTCAATTTCGTCAAAAGATCCTTGGCGATAAATATGAATTTCGTCATGTCAACCATTCTTAATTAATTAATATATGCATAACACAATCATTTGAAATTTCCTTTTTTTTTCGAAAAATTCCTTTTTAAACAAATTCTACATGAAAAATAAGAAATATAAGGAATAAATAAATAAAGATATAAATAAAGATATAAATAGAAATAAAAAGATTCGATTCGGAATTAGGGTATTTCGACCAACAAATCAGCTTTAAATCCTAATTCCAATAACAACTACATGCAATTTGAAAACAAAAATTCGCTTTCTTTTTTTTTATAAATACTCTTACAGTAATCCTGTACAATTTGAAAATCAAGAAAAACTTGACAAAAATTATCTGAACAAGTCAAAATGAAATTCAATATTTCTCTTCTCTTTTTGATTATCTTTGCTGTTGTAGCTTTAGCAAGCCCAACTCATAACAATAATTTGGTGAAGCGAGGTACTTCATTATTATTATTATATTTACTATTACAATAAATATCATTATATTCATATAATTGTTTTTGAAAAATTACTAACTATTGGGTTTCATCTGATTTTAAATAATAAATAGCGTAAGTATTTTTGTACTATTATTATAGTCAATATCATTGTTTTTGAATAAATATTAATTATTGGTTTTCATTTTATTTTAAATAATAAATAGTGTAAGTATTTTTTGTACTATTATTACACTCAATATCATTGTTTTTGAAAACATATTAACTGTTGGCTTTCATTTTATTTTAAATAATAAATATAGACTGTAAGTATTCTTTCTCATCATTTCACTATTTTTACAGTCAATATCATTGTTTTTCTGAAAACATTAACTATTGATTTTTGTTTTATCTTAAATAATAAATATAGTGTGTAAGTATTATCATCATTTCACTATTGTTACAGTCAATATCATTGTTTTTCTGAAAATATTAACTGTTGATTTTCGTTTTATCTTAAATAATAAATATAGGCTGTAAGTATTCTCATCATTATTACTACTACAGTCAATATCATTGTTTTTGAAAACATATTAACTGTTAATTTTCATTTTATTTTAAATAATAAATATAGGAAGTAAGTATTCTCATCATTTCACTATTGTTACAGTCAATATCATTGTTTTTTTGAAAATATTAACTGTTGATTTTCATTTTATCTTAAATGATAAATAGTGTGTGAGTGTTTTTATCATTTCATTATTAATATCATTGTTTTTGAAAACATATTAACTGTTGATTTTCATTTATCTTAAATAATAAATATAGGAAGTAAGTATTCTCATTATTTCGCTATTGTTACAGTCAATATCATTGTTTTTGATAACATATTTATTAACTGTTGATTTTCATTTTATTTTAAATAATAAATATAGATTGTAAGTATTCTCATCATTTCACTATTGTTACAATCAATATCATTGTTTTTTTGAAAATATTAACTGTTGGCTTTCATTTTATTTTAAATAATAAATATAGAGCGTAAGTATTCTCATAATTATTATTACTACAGTCAATATCATAGTTTTTGAAAACATATTTATTAACTGTTGATTTTCGTTTTATTTTAAATAATAAATATAGGAAGTAAGTATTCTCATCATTTCATTATTGTTACAGTCAATATTATTGTTTTTTGAAAATATTAACTGTTGATTTTCATTTTATTTTAAATAATAAATATAGGAAGTAAGTATTCTCATCATTTCACTATTGTTACAGTCAATATCATTGTTTTTTTAAAAATATTAACTGTTTATTGTTTTATCTTAAATGATAAATAGTGTGTGAGTGTTTTTATCATTTCACTACTAATATCATAGTTTTGAAAACATATTAACTGTTGATTTTTGATTTATCTTAAATAATAAATAGCTGGTAAGTATTCTTATCATTTCACTATTATTACAGTTGATATCATTGTTTTTGAAAACATATTAACTGTTGATTTTCATTTATTTTAAATAATAAATATAGATTGTAAGTATTCTCATCATTTCACTATTGTTGCAGTCAATATCATTGTTTTTGAAAACATATTAACTGTTGATTTTCATTTTATTTTAAATCATAAATATAGGCTGTAAGTATTCTCATCATTTCACTATTGTTACAGTCAATATCATTGTTTTTGAAAACATATTAACTGTTGATTTTCATTTTATTTTAAATAATAAATATAGGGTGTAAGTATTCTCATCATTTCACTATTGTTACAGTCAATATCATTGTTTTTGAAAACATATTAACTGTTGATTTTCATTTTATTTTAAAT